ACCTCTAGTCAAAGTGAAGTTTCTTGAGCATGCGCTATGTCTTCCTGTCTTGAGATTATGCCATTTCCTCTGCATGGAGGTCTGTCTCTACCATCTCTACCTGTCAAACTTAGACATTTTTGTCAAGACCCTTCTTAAATGCCACCTCCTATGTGAAGCCTTTCCTGATTCTTTTCTTCTTTGAGTCCCCTCTGTTCTTTGTTTAATCAGCTTTGGGATTTTACCATGTCTTTCCTACTATCAGTAGTTCATGTCTAACTTGTAAGTTCCTTGAGATCAAGAGCTCTGCTTGCTTTATTTCTGTAGCCTGCACTACCCAGATCTTTAGCATATATAATCAATACTCAACAAATGTTTGTCAACTTGAATTAAACTGGGAACTAGATGATTACAGCACTTTTGTTGGCTGAGAGGGCTTCCTGAGAAATAAGAATTTCTCTTTGGTTGATATTAAGTTATAATTTTCCTATTACAACTCACAAGTCCTACATAGTATGTTCTTTGACTATAATGGAATTATTATAAATTATTATAATTAATATTAATTATTAGATACTAATAACAGAAATTTTTCTTAGTGAAACCTCCAAACATTTGGAAACTAACTAGCACACTTCTAAATAACACATGGGTGAAAGAAAGAATTAAAGGGGTAATTAAAACATATTTTGAACTGATAAAAATAAAAACATAACAAGTGAGAATTTGTAGGATGCTACTAAGATAGTTTTGAGAGGGAAATTCATAGCATCAAGCACCTTTTTTAGAATAGAAGAAAGGTTTCATGGGCGCCTGGGTGGCTCAGTTGGTTAAGTGACTGCCTTTGGCTCAGGTCATGATCCCGGAGTCCCGGGATCGAGTCCCACATTGGGCTCCCTGCTCAGCAGGGAGTCTGCTCCTCCCTCTGACCCTACCCCCTTTTGTGCTCTCTCTCTCTCACTCTCTCTCTCAAAAAAATAAAAAATAAAATCTTAAAAAAAATAGAAGAAAGATTTCAAATCAATAACCTTAAGACACACACACACACACAAACGGCAAATTAAACTAAAAGTAAGCAAAAAAAAAAGAAAGAAAATAGTAAATATCAAAATATAAATCAATAAAATAGAAAACAATAGAGCATTCAATAGAATCAAAAGCTGCTTCTTTGAGAAAATCAATAAAGATAAAACACTGTGAGACTTATAAGAGAAAAAAGAAAGAATACACAAATGACAACAAGAGCAAGATAGGTGACATCACTTCAGATTCTACACATATAAAAGGACAATAAGGATTATTTTTTTTAAAAGCTTTTATTTATTTATTTGAGAGAGAGAGAG